AAATGAGTTACTGTTGACCCTCACTAATATTTTTCTTTGAATGGAAAGTGAAGCTAATCATATCTAAGTTAACTAACATACAGTGTACACCTGGATGAAATAAAACTAGAGGATTGAAACTGGCCCAATAACCCTATACAAACACCTGGAGTTCTCAAGGAATGTCTTAGATCGAATCATAAAGTGTTAGAATGGCCTAGTTAAAGTGGAGACACTAATCTACAACATACAGACTAGATGTGCATGTCTGGTAAAATCATAAAAATAAATTGCAGCTGTAAATACAGTAAAAGGTGGTCTCACTTAACATTTATGTGCCTCTCTGTAACAGACTGGAACATATTCATTGTTGTTTGTGGTTATAACATGACAAAATGTAAAAAGGGATATATATACTATTGTCAGAAAACTTAGCTGTGTTTCTATATGCTGTGGATTATTCTAAATTTTGAAATCCTCATACCTTCACGTCTTTTATGGCATTAAAATGCCATACACCACTTTTTTTCCCATTGCATCCTCTAGACAGTGGATGATCTGATAAGACTTTAGGGTGCATTTGCTGCATATATTTGCATAAGGATGAGAAGAAGTGATGGTACATTAGTCAACTCAAGTGGTTCTTTTGACGGCTTGGGAGTGAAGGAGGAGCCATAGCAGTGCAGCCTGGCTCCACAAGTGTTGACAGATTGCTAAGCGGCCATATATTCAGCTATCATAAATTTTCAACTCCTCTGTGCTTCTGGGGCTTTAGTAATCCATTCTTAGCTTCCTATTAACTTATACCTTTAAAGAATCTAGTGTCACTGCACAGAAATAAGATGGTTGTTTTTCAACGGCTGTAGGTAAGATGATGAAAGCAAGTCAGAATACTGTCTGAAATTCAAGAGCACATCATGTGAGGACAAAAGGAGACCATATTACTTTAACAACCTAAATTTGAAAATTGTTCACCAGTGCGCTCATTGAGCACAGTTGTAAATGACATAGAGAAAATAGAACCTATCAAGGCTTTGCACATAGAAAATAACATCAAGCCAGAGTGTTAATCATCAAACCAACAGACACTGCAGGTCTATCTTTTTCAAAAAGGTCCAAATCTGGCATCTCAATTTTAAGACATTTTTGTTTTGTTTTCTTATAAAATAAAACTCTACTGATGACTTTCATGAAATAGTTTTAATTGACATTCCCTGCAAGAAAGATTGAAGCCAGAATGTAACTTGTCAAGGTTAGTGGATGTATTTAGAGGACCCGAATGCAGAGGCAGAGATAGTTTCTTGAAGATTGTATAAAAAGGTTGATGGTACCAGAAGCATAAATCCAGCAAATACATGCAAGGAACTTAGGAACCAAAACAAGGAGACACTTGGGAGAAACATATATAAAGAAATTAAGAGAATCAAGCACCAAAAATATATAGGAGAAAGAACAATGGATGGAGTACTGTAAT